TTGGATGCTTATTTCCCCATTTATATTGACATTTTGGCACTCTGCTTCCTAATTACACTGGAGGCAAGGGTTATGCATACTTTGGTTTGCCTTTCTTGTTGATCTATATGATGGGTATGGGATTTGTAAGAAAATTTAGATTCCAACAGCTGCCATCATTCTCTTCACTTGTAATATAAAATTCCTGGGCAGAACTCTAACACAAGGTTTGCTCAAAATGGCTTTCCTAGCCATTGAGTTTGACTTTATCATGTGGATGGATGGGGAAAGATATATAAGGTATGTTAGCCTATCTACAAGAGGACTGGTTAGTTTTGCCAATAAACTGAATAGATTCAGCAGTAGATTTTGAGACTCTCACCACAAGCAAAGAAGAAGAGAATGCAGTATACCCTTTGGGGCTAGAGGTTCTTGTACTAGCCTGACCTGTAGGAAAGCAGCACTAGTAGCTGAAGCAGAGACCCACAGATCCAACTTGAGACGGAACTGAGATTGGAATGCCTGCTACCTCATGGAATCAGAGCTAAGAGCCTTGCCCAAGTTGGCTGGAAGACTGGAGGGGAGATCCATAATCAGCACGATTAAGAGCTTTGTAAAAATGACCTAAAGCCTTGGGGCTGAAGTCTGAAGTACTTGCAAGCACATTTTGGAAGCTGTCTTGTATAACTGTACCTTGCCAACTTGAATTGCATAGCCTTCTGACTTCCCCAATATTGTTCTGTGTGGTCTGTGAGCTATTACAACCAATTCTGGACCCAATATAACAGTGTAACAGTAGGATTAGTGCTGGGGTAAGTAGAAAGGGGTGCAGCAGTCTGCAGACATGTCTGAGCTCATGAGAACTGATTTTGTATTGTGGATGATGTTGATGGGGATGATTTCCCTTTGTGGAGTTAGTAAAGGTCAGATATAGCTGTCTCCATTCTATCCCTTGCACTTTTCATACTGTCTACCTGCTTGAAAAAACAAACTAACAATATACAAAAAATGTACACATTATCAGGTCACGTCGAATAGACTATCATAGCCCTGGTGATGTTATTGTATATTTCCAGCAGGTCATCACAGATAAATTCTTATTCCTCTAAGCTGACCAAAA